TCGCTGACAGGTCCATTGTCGCCAACGCTCCCTCATCAAGCCGACCAAATAAATACTCCACAGACTTTTGTGAGAGTGACTTGCTCTGTGTGAATACACTTTTCCTCTTTGCCGATTGACTTCTCTAGTTCCCTCGTACTGGGCCTTGGGGGCAGCAGCTGGGCTACCTTACCGTTCATGCTAATTACAAGTACCAGATGCAGGTTGTGACAGAAACCATGTTCGCCTTCGCAAACTTCGGATAGTAAACAAAATAATCGTGTTCCCTTTTCAGTTCTGTTTAGGACTCCACGGTGTGCTTTTGGCTAAACGGGGTGAGTAAGAACGTCAACAAACGGTAATATATCCGAACCAGCCCGCTAGGGGCTGTATCAGGCAACACCAGCAATTCTGTCAGATCTCCATGGCCGAGGGCTTCAATCGCACAAGGTGATGGTCTCCCTTGACGTGACAGTATTATTCACACACATTTATCCCACCGGGTTTGGCACAAGACATCTTGTGCAGGAAACTTGAGGAGCTATACGACCAGACCCAGTGTTGGCTCAAAATTCAACACTTCTCGAGGCGGACCAAATGTTGCCAAAAGACCTACTTCACTTTTGCAGGAGAAACTTATGAACAGATCAAGGGAACTCCAATGAGGTCTCCAATCTCCGGTTTAGTAGCAGAATTGGTCCTACAAGAACTGGAAAAGATTGTCTTCACGCAACAGCCTCCGATCGTTTGCCGACGTTACCTTGAAGACGCGTTTTTTATCGTCAAAAGGGACACTTTGCAGAATTTCCATTATTTTGCTAACTCTATCCTTCACGAAGGAAGAAGAAAAGGGTGAACAGTTACTCTTTCTCGATGTACTCGTCGTGCGAAATTACAACGGCGAAAATAGAAACAATGGCCTACAGGAAGGCGACGAACACCACACAGTTTCCCAATTTTCACAGCAACCATTCGGTAACTCACTTACGAAGCTGCGTGAGAACACTGTTCAAAAGAATCCAGACTTATTGCGGTAATCGGAAGAAAAAATACGTGATGTCCGATGTGTCTGCGACCAGTTTATGCAGAAGGGCTATCGGAAGGCCTTCATAAGCTGATGCCTACGTGCCCGCCCTCCGAGGACTCGAACACAACCAACCCGTACGATATGGCATGCGCTACCATACACCAAGAACGTGTCAGAATTGATCGAGCGCATTGTTACGGGACTAAGAGTCGGAATTGCACACCGTCCCAAGGCTACCATGCGCAGCCATGTGATGAAAATCAAGGACCGATTAAATGCCAGTAAGCAGTCGGGTGAAGTGTATCGCGTACCATGCCCAGACTGTCCCCGAAATGGCACAGGACAGACCGGACGCTTGGTTCGCGCATACATGAACATAAGCTCGCTGTAAGAAGGATTGCCCACACCTACGAGACGGATCACAAGGTTAACTGC